TCTTAAAGCAGCCTTACCTATATATTTCCCAGTAACTGTGTCATTTCCTCACCGTTACTGTTGCCTCATAGGTTGAAAAAGTCAAGCAAAGCTATCAGTAAATTGAAACTCTCAATATCTACAGCCTTCAGTGACGTGAAATATATAAATGCCGGTTACAAAAACAGAATGTTACCAGGCTTTTCATTAACAGCTTTTGTATCTATTATGTTATTTAACTGACATTTCTCCTATTAATCTACTTATTCTAACTCTATTCTCATCTTGGTTCCAAAAAGGAAGACATCCTTAGACTGTCATAGACTTCAGCTACAAATACCCATTAAAAACTGGGGGCTGATAAAGGTTTTTATTTTGAGATGCACGCATTTCTGTTTTTGGAGATGAAAAGGTATTTATTTTGGAGCACTTTGGGTTCTATATAATAACCTGGTACAATGGGAGAGCAGCAATATATAATGAACCATGGAAACCATTCAGAGATGAACATTCATTAGACACTGTACAGAGATGTCAAAATGTGTCCAATGTACAAAAGGTGTATGAAACGGAATGGCTCGTTATGTATGTAATTTGATTCTGCAGCCCTATTCATTGGCATTACAAATGATAATCTTCACCCCATCCAAGGGAATGTGTTTGACGCAGGGCCTATGTAGGGATTTCTATACAGGCAATGAGGGTACTACACTGCCCATCAATGACTGCACTCATGGGCAACTCAAAGCTGATTTTTAAAGCAGAACTCCTGGGAAAAGTTTTCTTAACCCTCACAGTTGGGCTACCTCGTAAGCGTCCAAACGTCCTACACACGGTGCATAGAACGTGATGACTTAGGGACCTTAGACCACTGCAGCGGAGGGGGAATAAGGTGGAATGGATTGGTTTAAGAGCAAGCCGACTCCGAGGATCGGGTGAGTATAACTTTTTTTATTTTACAGCCTAGACAAAAACAAGCAATGAACCCTTGCAGAGCAGAGGTAGCCCCACTGCAAGGGATAAGAAAAAATTCCCCGTCGTTCTGCTTTAAATCTTCCACCCAGCTATACATTGGGTTAATGTAATTGGCATGACATTCACTCCATTAGATGGAACCAAGGAGCACAGGAATTTCCTATGCTCCTCGGCTCCTTGAGATTGGTTGCTAACATTTACAGCAAATGATTGCTCTATGCATAATGGTAATAATCCCTTTAGTGTTATATAGAAATGTAATTAAAGCGGACCTTTACCCTCAAAAATCTAATTCTACCAATGCATCCCTCTATGTATGATGATTAATAATAACATAGACATGTCAGGTGTAAAATGCTGTAATTTTGAAATGCTTACACTTGCAGAACATTCACTTCCTGCTTCCTGCTTTGAAAGGGCAAAATGACTTGTTTGCCAAAGCAATACACACTGGGATTGCTTTGTCATTGAAATGCTGATGATGTAAGTGCCAAAAGCATTACATCCTGGGAAGGTTACATAAGCAGAGCATTGCTGGGAAGTCTCATTTGTAATCATACGAGATCTCAGAGACAGGCATTTTCCTCCCCTGAGATGATGTGCATGGTCACATGTCCTAGTCACATATCTAGTCACATGTGCCAGAGTTCCAGGATGTAAAAGGAGAGCTAGTAATCTGCCCTTAGTAAACATGGCCACTGTCAGAAGACTGGGGAAGAAAAGAGAAATAAGGTATGCAAGGAATACAAAGCCGGCAATTATCTAGAAGTATCTGTTTGTAGATTGTCATTACTAAACATGTCTAAAGATGTGTTTGTTGTTATTTTAAAGATATGTGTAAAGGTCTGCTTTCAGCCTTGTGAATAACAGACAGAACTACCAGGATTATAAATATATTGGACTGTGTCTCAGATATATAAAATCAATACAGAACAGACACTAAAAATAAAAGTTATAGCCCTTACTGAAACTACTATGAGAACTTATCACTTTATAACAGTAAATGTAAATCAGCGAGTGAGTCTGTACAGAGCAAAGCAGATATAGCAGATATATGTGAAAAAGTAAGTGCACCCTATGGAAGCTGTTGACTTCTTTAACATAAGAACAGGCAAACATTAGATCTTCATTCAAATAGTATCTGCAAGTAAAGGTGATATATTTAAACAAATAGAAAATAGAAAACCAGGTGCACTCCTTACCGGAACAATAGTAGACCTGCAAAAGCAGGTGGGTGCTTGTAGCGACCACGGACGGCACCGTGTATAACACAAGAATATAAAGTAAGAGTCGTCAGCACACCAGAAGTAATTCAGCAAAAGTCCATTTATTGACACATTGCCATTCAAAAACAAGCGCTTTCTGAGCCTCATGGGTACCCCTTCATCAGGCTCATTTCTGAGCCTGATGAAGGGGTACCCTTGAGGCCCCGAAAGCGCTTGTTTTTGAATGGCAATGTGTCAATAAATGGACTTTTGCTGAATTACTTCTGGTGTGCTGGCGACTCTTACTTTACATATTTGAACAAATAACACATAACATTGTCATGGTGTAAACATACTCAGAATCTAACTGGACTAGGAATAAATCCTTCAGCACAATAATGATCCAAAGAACACTAGCAAATGGCAAAACACTAGCACCAAGGAATGGTTACACAAATAAATGGAGGGTTATGGACTGGCCTTGTCCAAGTTCTGACTTAAATCCTGTGTGTGGGTTAAAAAGGCAGTTCATGCAAAGAAGGCAACAAATATGTTGCAAGTGAAGGAAATCTGCATGGTGGAGTGGTCAACCTTTTCAACAAGTTGATTTCTGAGACTGGTGGGCGGTTATGCAAAATGTCTACAAGACGTAATTTCTACTAAAGGGGGTAATATCAACTTTTGAGTCCAAAGGTGTACTTACTTTCTCCACAGTACACCATAACGTCTACTGATATTTTTGTTGAATAATGATTGAACATTTTCCTGTTCAAATATGTTGAAAGAGTCAACAATTTCCATGATGTGTACCTACTTTCACATGACTATAAATTGTGGCACTTGTCTGGTAAACATAATAAGAAATATATTTCTTTAGTTGATGGTTGCACTTTTTACAACAGATATAATCCTACCCTCTGTATTGATACAAAAATGACCAATGTGAATTCTTGCCGGTCACATGGTACATAGTTATCCTCTTATGTACCTCAGGAGCTGCAGCGGTTGGCTAAGTACGTATTTTACATGTAAGCTAATCAAGCATATTAATATTACTTGCAGCATTTTAAATGTTGGGACTGTTGGCTTTTTCTGTCATGGTATTTAATGGAATTTTAAAATGCTGGAAATAAGGTTAACGATGGGTTAAAATACCAAACAATTTTAGAATATTTGGTGTATTTTAGGCACTAACACGCATTTAAACCACTGCGGTTCAGTTACATACAGTATGTTGGGACGTTGTGGTGCCATTAATTTTAAATGGAACCCAAACACACCCCTGTAACGCACCTGTTGTAATAAATGGTCTGCCTTAACGCAATGCCTGTTAGTGCAATACATAACATTGAACGCACCAGAACAGACCTGAAGATAAACTTAAACTGTATGTAAAACCTAACAATCAACTTTTTTTAAAGCACAAAACTTTTTTTTAGCTGAGCTTATCAAATGAAAAGAGTTCTACTCTGTACTTGATGGTGGCAGCAGGGCCAAGAAGATGGCTAATATCTGTCTGGAGATTGCATGCACAGTTAATGTATACACTATGGGTACAGCAGAATGATGGTGTAAGTCTACTCAGTATTGATGAAACTTATATGGTATATAACGCCTTGTTGTTTGAAATAATGAGCACTGAAAGGGATGCTGGTTTGTTAAGCCCTACAAACACGGTACTCCTATAACCAAATTAAACCTGCTCCTTGATAGACTGAATTACAACAAAAACAGTTCTTAAAAATCATAGTATTATAGGGTTGGTGTCCCTGGCCCATCATGACTTGTTTAAAAGAACATAGCTAGTATTTTTTTGAAAATGTAACCGAACCAAAAAAAAAAGATTTTTAAAACCTCTACGGAAATATTGGCCCAGTCATGACAAATGCAGGCTTCCCAGTTCATTACTTTACTGATACAATAGAATATTGTCAAAGTGACACTAAACTCAGGACTTAAACCTTAAAAATGCATTCAAGTACCTAAACTATTAACAAAAATGTATCCTTTTTGTGCATCACTCTCTGAATTGGTGCTGACACTGTCCTTCCTTCCTCCTTTTGTTCTCCATGGTCCCTGTGTGTGTTGTAAAGTAGCCACCGCTCCAAGCTCTCTTCCGTGATGGACTACAACCTCAATACAAATTAGTAATCTAAACATGAGATTGTAGTCCATCCCGGGAGTGAGCTTGGAGTGGTGGCTACTTTACAACATGCACAAGGACCATTAATACATTGTTCAATGCCATTTTTAAATTGAACTAGTATATCTACCCTAATTTGACTTGGTTTTAGCCTCTTGCACTGCCCTGTATAGAAGCACTCATACTGGGAGAGGGAGGGGTAGAACTAAAAGCCAATCATATGTTCTGCATGCAAATGTGTTGACAAGAAACATGCTGAAAGGAGGAGAGAGCAAAGTGAAAGAGCTCATAAGTGTGTTGCTGCACTTTCACTGTCTAGTCAGCCGACTGGGGTGGAGAGAGGACACCACTGTGTTCCTGGGCTGTGCTGCGTAAAAGAGCAGTGAAAATTGCAGGAGTGGATGGACTCAAATACAAATCCATTGGCAGGTAAAGACTCTTTTGTTTACGTATTTTATTTGTGTAGTTAGCTATCTGCTTGTGGTTCAGCTTTAATAACACAAATGTTAAATTCGATTAAAGCCAGGCAAGTTACCAACTGATTCTAACCAGCCAGAGAATTTATATTATCTGCTGTTTCTGTGCACAGCGTGGAACAACCATTATTTACAACACATACTAGTTAAGGTATGAAACTCATCTTAACTACTACTATATTTGGATTACCTTTTATAAGAATTACATTTCCTATAATATGTATTTCCGTCTTCCATATATCCCAATAAAAGAGGTAATGGCACTTTTCCTGAACTTAGTTGCCAAACATCTCTTGACCTGTCTAATTGATTAAAGTGCAAAAAAATTCCAAGTTCATTTGGCAGATATAATAGAGTTGCATTGATATTATATGGCTATTCAGAGAGTAGATGTTAGGAGGTGATACTACAAACAAGAGAATTCTGCATTGTATAATGGAGCACCCTTGAATAAGCGAGCACCACAACGTTCAGCCTCTCCATACTCTTCTTACTGCCTGTAGCCGGAACTATATTAACATTCATAAAGATTCTTACAGTCTAAGAGATCTGTTTGTAAACCCTGTTATGCATCAGGTGAAACATTTTTAAGTTTAATTCCTTCAACATATAAGGACACTGTGTTATACCTACCTTACATATATAAAGTAGTCAGCTCCATGCAACACCTTCAAGGGGAGGTGGGGAAACTATTAGTGAGACAGCTAAGAACATCTGCAACAGGTTACATAGGCCTAGTCTGACTAAAGGGAACAATATTTAAAGCTTACAGTTTACACATTTTCCCTAATGATTCTTGCTGCATGTTAAATGCTTGTACGATGTATTTGTTCCTGTGAGGCCTTCACATTTTCTTCACAATCTGTAGTAAAAGGAGTGGAAAGGTTGGTATGTTAATGCCCACCCAATAGACTGGAGAGGAATCCTGAAGACCTTTTGCTCTCGGATTCTTGGCTTGATGAGTACCCCACTTCCTCTTCTATGTCCTCCAGTTCTGACTGGTCCAAAAGTTCAAAGTCATCAGCTTCGTCAGTGTCAGTATCATCAATAGAAGTTGGAGCAGGAGTTTGTGAAGAGAGAAAGGCTGACTGTAACTGGCCAGTGATAGCTGCTGAAACAGCGGCTGTGATGACCTCATTAGCAACATCATTTACTAGATTACATGGCTGCTCAGTGGCCAGAAGCAATGACAACACTGATGTTGAACTCTTTTCAGCACGTGCTTTTTGACTCTCTTTGTGTTTTCTCTTTGGAATGGCAGGCAGGCCTATGCTAGAGTCTTCATCGTTGGATGGGGAACCGTTCTCAGCAGATGGGAATTCAGTGAGGCCTCTGGTGAAGCCTTCCTCCTGGTCACTTTGCCGATCCAGATCTGTGTTATGAAAAAAAAATGCTTATTCGAGTTGAGAACTGTAACAAGGACACTCCACTGTAGTCCAGGTAAGTCAAGGAAACACAGTTTATTGAAAGGGCAAACACAAAATAGCTTGAAACAGCAACATAAGACAGTCCTTGTTATGGCTCTGTAGCTTTCCTCAGCTACAAGACACTCACGCTGCTCACCCCTCGTGAGCCCTCACTCTGCTCTCTTAGCAGACTGTACCGCAGGTCCTCGGGTCACCGACCTTCCTGACCTCTCCCAGCCACCCCTGGCTGTTCCGTGTGCGTCTAGCATGAACCCGAGGTGGTCTGTGTCCGTGTGCTCCCTGCACACACACAACTCCAACACTCCCCAGGGTGGAGCTCTCCTGATTCACAGGTGGGGCCCTGAACACATCCCAGCACACTCTTCATGAAGGATGTACACAGGTGCACAATCAGGTGCTGGTCACTACCAAAGCATGGACCCAGGAATGGAGATTTCATCCCACCCAGAGCTCTAAGAAATCTCCTGGCTCCAGGATCCCAACTATGATCCAGACAACCTGGAAATAACTGAAAAGGCAGTTCTCTCCTGGTACACGTACTGTCTTCCTGCAGCCACTCAGCCCCTCTGGCTGAGAACCCTGGGTGACTTTGAGGCCACCTAACACCGTGGTATTGGCTTACACTGCCACAGAACTAAAATGCACTGTATTAGCTAACCAAAGGAAAAACCCATTGATTCAAGATAAAACCTAGATAAAGGTGTTTAACCTTAGGCTGAATAATATGCAGGAGACCAAATTCCTTTACATGTCATATAAAATGTACACCAATGTAAGAGTGTGATGGACACAAAACTATAATGCACTGTATTAGTTAACAGAGGAAGAAACCCCTATATTCAAGATAACACCTAGATAAAAGTGTTGAACCTTATGCTGAATAATATGCAGAACACCAAATAGAGAGCAAACTCCTTTACATGCCATATAAATGTACACCAATGTGACACAAAGGCTGACTCTCACATCAGCACAAGGTTCCAATGGTAAAGAACCGCTGGTATGAATAGTAGCTTTAAAGTAATTGTGTCTATCCACAGTGGCGTCATAAGGGGGGTGCGGCCCGCACCCGGGTGACACCATTGGAGGGGTGACACCAAAATGACTTACAGTATCACCCCCTCTGAAAAGTCGGGCGCTCGGTCATGGACCGAACGCCCGACAGTATCAGGAGAGAGTAGGGGACCCGGCGGCATACCTTATCCCGCCGGGTGGCTGTCTCCTCCTCTCTTTGCCGGCGTCCATCACCAAGATGGCCGCCGGCAGGTATCAGAATACTGTCGCGCGTGCACGTCATCGCGCACACGAGTGGTGACGTCACACGCACGTGCGGTGACGCCACACGCATGTGCGGTGACGTCTCGGCGGGGTGACACTCGAACACCGCTCCGGGTGTCACCCAGCCTCAGGACCCCCCTGTCTGTGCATAGAAGGCAGGCAGTACATGATATAAAGATCCAATAGGAATGCCATTTCTTTACATTTGGGCAAAGGAAAAAGGTTTCTTAACTTCCCTCCTCCCAACCAGCATATGCTCACCTTTCTTTGCTCCTACTCCTCCATATGACAGCTCAAGGTGGCTTGTGATTGGTCTGGCACTGTCACATGGGGCTGGAAAAGGCACCAGTAGCTTTGTATGAGCTCTGGCCAAGTAGGTTTGGAACTTAAAAACAGCTTTAATTGCCAGTTTCTGGTAGTTAAACAGAGTGTCACAGGGGTGAAGTTGAGTATGTACCTGCTGGAGGGGTGGGGGGTCAAGTGACCCTTTAACTCTGGCCTGAATTGCAAAGGAAAGGGTCACCTTAAAGGAGAAATTTAGTTAAGAGTCAAACCATCAGTAAACGTCTATCACAACCTGTTCAGTAGCCAGTACTTCATTTTAATGTAATGTATTAGTAAAGGTGCTCATACACCTTGAGATTATCATACGATAATCGCAGGAAATCCCGCGATCGTACGAAAAAGTCTTGCGATGGTTGTAAGGTGTATGGGCACCTTAAGCTTCAGAAATCATTCTACTAAATGTTAAAACTCTCAGCCACTGCAGTTTCCTGTTGATAATACCAGTATTGATTTTGGATGTATCTGCCTTAACTCAGGTCACACATACGTTGTATATTGGGATCTACTTAAAGGCGTATTTCAACTTCTGCCGCCAAATTGGGATAACACCTACTTTATATTTGTTCCTTTTCACATAGCATAACTTAAAATATTAAAAAATTGCATCTTACCTATTTTACTTGCTCTTCTCTGAAAACTTCAAAACGTGTGTTTTCCTATTCTATGTAATGTTTAGGAGTTAACGTTTACAATAATTAACCTGTCTGTATTGTGCTGGAAACTCTTAGCAGTTGTAACTAGACTTGAACACTGTCTGTCCTAACAAAGGGTTAAATATCTCCAAGCTAGGGTGGTATATTGCATGTTAATGCATTCCGTCCCCAGTTTGTCCCTCCACATTCACTTTGGAATTGTTCAAAATAGCTTGCAGTCTGCCCCAAGGTCTGCTCTAAAGAAACAACTAGAAAGGTAAGAAATATTTTGTAGGTATGCTGTGTGAATGGCAGCGTATGCTGTGTGAACGGCAGAACAAACATACAGCATAGTGGGGTTTTGTCAAATGTGACTGTAAAACTGTAAATACACTTTAAGACACAGGTCAACATTAGAAAGGATTTATGTCTTCATGTCAAAAGCAGACCTTTCAAGCACAGTGCGCCGAAATCTGATGCGGACAGATTAGGCCTTTCTGTTGAAGAGACACTACCACTTCAAAAATCTTTATAATCTGACACTTCCAGGAGTGTCAGATTCTTGGTCTCCCGTTGCACTTGGTGGTTCCTTTCCGACAGCCCCTATGTCACTATAGGCCACAGTATTGATGCAGGGAATAGAGAGAGTAACCACTGAGGTCAGAAGAGGAGATCAACACTCCCAAAAGTATTGGTTTCTGAAGCTCTTCCCTTAAATACAATAGTGATTAGTAGTGTAAGCAGCAGGAGAGGTAAGTATGTACGATCTTCTTTACAGGGAAACCTTTTTTTCAGTAAAGAAGAGAAGAGTTAGACTGCAGCAGTACTCTAACCCTTACATATGCGTTGAACGTGATTTACTGTAATATGTCATTGACAGAAGAGATACAGTGTTAGATAGAACTGTGGAGTCAGTGGTATGAACACTAAGTGCTCACACCATAAACAGGGCGTTCCAGACCGATCAGCTGCTGGTACGCACTGAACCACATTCTGGTTGGCTTTCTACGTTCAGGGGTGGGAGGGGGCTTGGCTGTGTGTTGAAGTCAATGGCACCGCAGCCACTCCCCCTGCCCCCAGTGCGATCACCCGCACTAGAACGCATGGCACATCATTGCCTGTGTTCTGGTCCAGTGCGATCTGAAAAAATAGTGCATACAGCATTTTTTCAGATCGCACTGGACCAGAACGCAGGCACTAATGTGCCATGTGTTCTGGTGCGAGCGATCGCACTGTGGTGGGGGCGTGGCTGCGGTGCCATTAACGTCAACGCACCACCACCCCCTCACCCCTGAATGCAGGAAGCCAGCTGGGATGCCCTCCAGTGCATTCCAGCAGAGTATCGTGACAGGCCCTTAGGACAGAGAAGAGGGGCATTCCTGAGTTTTACTGTAGTATTACATCTGTACTTTACTCTATGCCTTAACCTAACCTGTAAAGCAGGGGTGCCCATTAGGTCAATTGCGATCTACCAGTCGATGGAAAAGCCTGTCCTGTCATCCCACGGTGCACATGCGGCTGAACCCGTCCGACTCTGCAGACGGGAAGGGGCGGGACACCTCTCCAAGTCTGCACGATCGGCCACACGAGCACCGCGGGAGGACGGGACACCGCACCTGAGAGGAGACCCAGAAAGCTGGTGGAGTGCAGGTAGGAAAAGACAGCAGCGAGAGAGAAGAGAGACAGCACGAGCGAGAGTTAGAGAGAGAGAGAGACAGCAGTGAGCGAGTGAGAGACAGCAGCAAGAGAGAGAGACAGCAGTGAGCGAGCGACAGCATTGAGCGAGAGAGAAGAGAGGCAGTGAGAGAGAGAAGAGAGACAGCAGTGAGCGAGAGAGAAGAGAGGCAGTGAGAGAGAAGAGAGACAGCAGTGAGCGAGAGAGAAGAGAGGCAGTGAGCGAGTGAGAGACAGCAGTGAGCGAGCGAGAGAGAAGAGAGGCAGCGAGATGGAGAGAGAAGAGAGACAGCAGTGAGCGAGCGAGAGACAGCATCGAGCGAGAGAGAAGAGAGGCAGCGAGATAGAGAGAGAAGAGAGACAGCAGCGAGAGAGGGAGAAAGACAGCAGCGGGAGAGAGAGGAGGGAGACAGCAGAGAGAGAGAGAGGGAGGAGGGAGACAGCAGAGAGAGAGAGAAAGCAGAGAGAGAGAGAGGGCACATGCTGTGCTCTCTGCCTGTGCTGACTCTCATCAGTTACATTGTTCCCAGCTAACTCCATGTACTACCAGACAGCTCCTCCCTATGTTAAGGAGCAGAAGAAAAGGGGAGGCATTCTTTAGTCCTGTCCCAGGTTGTCAACGCTTCTCCTTTATAGATTAAGTATAGTGATTATTATCACCCTAGGACAGGAAATGTCTTACTGGCAAGATCACCAGGTAAAAATAGAGGGGAAAAAAGCCTGAAAAAAGACTAAAACCTAATGCAGCCACATTTATGACTCCCATAATTATGCTTACCATAATGTAATATCAGCAAAATAGTGCATTGTGGCCACTAGATGGAGCCTTTTTTCCCTACGCTGCTCAGCTCCATCTAGTGGCCATAAAGCAGCATTTTCCTAATATTACAGTCGACTTAAAAAGCAATCATACCAAGAACTTTTGTTTTTGCCTCCATTTGCACAGAACAAATGTTCAGAGTTTCGCAGGACCAATGGCCTTGCAAATTGTTTATAAATACACCCCAAATGCTTTGGTAAATTATTATGCAACCTAGTATGATGATTAAAATCACACGTTTCACAACACCAAATTCTGCTTAGTACATAGCAACATACTGAGGTAAATTTATCAAAACTGGAGCAGTTGCCCATGGCAACCAATCAGCATCTCTCATCAGTTTGCTCAGGTAAGATTTGAAAATGAGACAGAAAAGCTGATTGGTTGACATGCAAATCTGCTCCAGATTTTGTCTGCTCCGGTTTTGATAAATTCCCTTCACTGTCTCTGCCCTTAGATTGCGGCAAGCATATTGCAATAGTGATGGGACCATACCATCTGATGTATCTGTCTGTGGAGTGTAGCCCTCTGAAAGGTTAAAGGTTCCATTTTCTGTCCAAGACAAATCTGATGGTTCTGTGTCAGAAATTGACAGTTCCTTGACAATTGATCCTGGAGTGATCTATATGAAAAGGACAGGCAATGATAAGGTTACCCAAGATTTCAGGCAGCCGCCTTCACTGACATTATCATAGTGCACTGAGAAACTTTCCTTACTGATATACAAGAAACATTGACTAATCTGGGAAAACATAGGTGTTCAGTGCATTGCTGGCATGTTGGCAAGCTGTGCATACAAAGGAGAAATGTCAAATGGTCTTTTATCTTGTTTTTAATTGCTGGGCACCTGAACAGCTTTAACGCTATGCTTGCTGAGAAGTCTAAATAGTTATGTTTTGCCCAATGTTCCCTTCCTATTTCTCAGCTGAATGACGCCCAGCACCATCCAACCACTTCCTCTTGTCTATGAGCGTCAAGGACCCGCCCAAAGAAGTTCTCTGGACTGCTTGAGAGAACGTCACCACAGTCTATCAATGTCTTGGAGTGGGGTCAGTTGTACAAAAACCCGTTCATTGATTTGCACCAGTCTCCCAACAGCACCGATGCCACTAGTCCAGTGTATTCCGGGCTCTGCTGCCAACAGAGCTAAGCAATCTTTTTAATAGCTTGTGGATTGTTTTTTCGAACACTTTCATGCATACTTTTGTCTTCTGGAATACTTTGTGGCATAAATTATCAAAGAAACCTCAAACCACAATAGAAGCTATTCTACTTTCTAGCAAAGCACTTATAAACAAAAAATAAATAATTTTTTAGGTAAGGTTGACTGGTGGTTGGCAGCCGGTTTATAGGGATTTAGCAGGCAATGAATGCCTGTTTTTTTTTTTTTATCCAAATAGGGAATTTGCATTGCAGTATTTCATTTTTGTGCTCCTGTTTACGATGGAGCTGGTGGGATGGGCTCCCGATCATGTGACCACTGTGACAGCCAATCACAGATATTTTTTCATTTTAGATAGGGCAAGAGTTAGACCCTCAGTCAGTCCTGCCTGAAAGATCCACTCTCTCTCTGTCTCCTGATGACCATTGTCACTGGTACTGAAAGTAAGCTATGATCCAAACTTTGGAGTTGATGCGTTTTAACTAATTCTACTCTATTCAAAACAAAAATAATTTCTTCAGATAAACTTTGATGGCCAAAAAAAATCATCATACAAGTGACTTGCAAATTGATATATTTAGGGTTAAACACATTATTTACCTGAGGATATAATGCAGACAGATCTATTTCACTGTTTTCTTCAGCAGACTTTTCAGCTTTTTCTGTAGGAAAAAAATAAAAGAAATATTCAATCCCAAATTTTTCTATTTTTGCTTCCTATTAAGCCACTCCTTCTTTCTTTGGTTATTATCTGCATATGCTCAGCATTGTCACTGACATTTGAAGCAGTGGCGTAACAATCACCATAGCGACCCAGGTGGCCGATATGGGACCCTGGGGCACAGTGGGGCCCGGCCAGATGCCGTGCGGGCCGCATGGGTCGTTATGGCATCCTTTGCTGGTGGCTGTCACTGGCGGCTCTGAAGAAGAATGTGCTGCTGTTCAGAACACTGACAGTAATCTGTGCAGAAGCGTGTTCCTCTCCACAGAGTCAATGAGAGTCAGCAGCGGCGGTGGAGCAGGCTGGACCTGGCAGTGGAGGAGAAGGCGGGGCCCGTGGTCGGAAGCAGGGGTGGAGGCGGGGCCCGGTGACGGAGAAGGGCACGCGACGGAGGAGGAGGCGGGGCCCATCAGCAACGGTGGAGGAAGAAGAAAGGTAAGGAGTGCGACCAGCCCATCTGAGGGTGACCCTGCAGAGCCCACCATAGACAGTCTATGGTGGGCTCCGCAGAGTCACTCTCAGGTGGGCTCTGCAAGGGCTATAACTAGAAATCACGGGGGCTTCATACAAAATTTTGCTATGGGGCCCTGTGATTTCTAGTTACACTCCTGATTTGAAGGAAACTAAGTAAAAATACCCATGGAAATGGCATTAGCCCAGTGTATGACACGGGCCCATGGAAATGGCATTAGCCCAGTGTATGACTTAGTTTACACTGCATTCTCACCATCAGATGAAGCTCAACTCAATCGAGTGTCAGGAATGCTACGCGAATAACATTCGCCCAGTGTATGGTTGGATGGAAGTTTTATAAATCAACCCCTAATTGTTGCATGAAAACATCAGAAGGGAGTAGATGCATTTGATGAAGAACTGTGCGTGTTCCTGTTTTAGTGAAGGCTATAGAGCCTTTTAATCTGCACAACCAACTAATCTTCACATATTTTTTTTATTTACCGATATGAAAGAACTTTAGCTGTATTTTCAATGTGACATTTCTGCCGACTCAGCTTAAATATCCCAAACTGACTACAAAACATATACAGGGTTATTGACAAAAGGGTGAAGAGTTTGGAGAAGGCAGGAGAAGTGAACAATCTAGGACAACATAGCTGAACTGGAAAGTGAGCTGAATTGGAGAATGTTTCCAAATCAGCTATGTTGTCCTAGATTGTTCACTTCTCCTTCCTTCTCCAAACTCCTCACCCTTTTGTGAATAATCCAAAATTTTCAAGTACATTCCTATGTACCTCAGTCTATTCATAAAATGCAGGCCATGGTGTGGAACCTGCTGTGTTCTATGGCAGTGGTTCCCAACCACCGGTCTGCAACCAAGTCCTTGGCCGCAGCCTTACTTATGTCAAGCTGCTGGATCCCAATTTGTTCTGACAGCACTCTGTTACAAAGAAGGCACTACCAGACAAGAATGAACAGGAAAGGAAAAAGCCAGTAAGGTGCTGGCAGCACTGCTACAGCACGTTCACTGTGAGTCTCAGTGCAGTGCTAGTAAAAGAAATGATCACATGTGGGTTCAAACCCTCCCTCCCCCTGAGCATCCGCAGCACAGCAGGTATTTCTATGAAAAACCCAGCTCCTGAATGGCACACCAACAGATTGTTACAATGAACAACTCATGTGTTGAAGTGCGCTGCTTTGAAAAAAAAAAGTTTGATTATTGTTCCATTTACGTACATTGGCTTCCTTTTTTTTTTAATCAAATGATTTGGCTCTCCACCTGGTATTTGTTTCTGTTTGCATTCATTTAACCCCTTCATGACTGAGGCCTTTTTTTCATTTTTTGTACCCATGTTATATTCCACATTTTAGGCCTGAAAATTACTTAAAACCCCCCAACATTATATATTTTCTGAATGCCAAGACCCTATAGAATAAAATGGTGGTAGTTGCAAATTTTTATGTTGCGCAATATTAGCGCAACTCTTTATTAAACCCCAATATTTAGTGAAAAATTTAATTAAATGCCCCAAAACACAACAAAATACCAATTTTTTTAATGAAATATAAAAGTAAAACGATACCATTCCCGGCGGCAAAAGTCACCGGGAGTCTGTTTAAACAGCCCGATGCTGGCGACGTACACTGTACGTCGTCAGTCACGAAGGGGTTAAAAAGCACTAAGCATGTTTAAAAGCACATTGTTATATTTTTAAAAAGTGCAGTATATTTTTTTTTTTTAAAGCAGCAATATGGGCTTGGAAAGGACTAGCCTGTCCCTCGTCCTTCACCAGTGACATCACACCACTAGTGTGCAGACTGATCCTACCTCCAAAACACACTCTCACACAGACACACACCTGCCATACCCTCTGCTCTCCTCTCCTGCACATACTGCTCACTGTCATATCCTCCGTACTCCTCCCCTGCACATACTGCCCACTGTCATACCCTCAGCACTCCTCCCCTGCACATACTGCCCACTGTCATACCCTCAGCACTCCTCCCCTGCACATACTGCCCACTGTCATACCCTCAGCACTCCTCCCCTGCACATACTGCCCACTGTCATACCCTCCACATTCCTCTCTGGCACATGCTACTCCTGCACATCCTGTTCCACTCCTGTTTACTATATCTGCAATCATTCCTGTCCTGCAACTGGCACACTTTTGCTAGTATTTAATATTCAAAGATTGATTTGAGTAAGAATGAATGAGGTATTTTATCTACAAAGCAAACATTACAATCTTTTTGTAAAAATGGGAGATCCTCTGTTGATAATGAAGACATATAAGGGGAGGCTATATCTAAAGTTGCCAGCGCTAGAGAGGAGTACTTTCTCTATAAATAGCAGTGAGCAGACAATAGAGGCTGCCTCTACTCTTCTGTTCAGTACAGTATAATGCAGACAGAGTAATCTGAGGTTATGTATTGAGATCCAACAGAAACACTTACTAGACCTGGCTTTCATCCACTGGCTGATAAAGGACTGCAACCCAAAATCCAGCTTCTGCAGAACTGGCTTCAGCTTGCTGTATGCTTTTTGTCCAATTTCATTGCATTTTAACAATGGACACAAGAAGGCACACAATACTGTATTGAAAACAAAATGAAAGAAACTCAGAATGACATTTTACCCATTTGTGTTGGTGAACATCCAAGTTTACTGCATTTATAAATGTGCTATTCAGTGTATCAATCATAACACATAAATGTTATAATCCATCTAGAGTTCCAGAAACGCAAACAAGTCATTGGGCCAAAAGAAAAGTTAAAAATAATTATTGGCGCTGAAGACCTGCCACTTATTCTGGCATCATTCCAAATGCTTCAAGAGGAACATTGTAGTACAATATAAGAAGGCTTTTCACATACTGTAGGGGCATATTTACAGTAGAAAGGATTCACAATCCCTGTACAGTGACCCTGTTCATAAAGTACAGTGGCCAGGTGAAAAACATTTACCATTGTTCACCAATATCTGTTCTTCAATTGGAAAAGTGACTATTCTAACATTTGTCCTATATATCATTGGACAAATGTTATAATCCAGCACATTTGTAATTGTTCTATTTCTAACAGTCACCAGCCTGTGCGGCCAAATAATTCCACTGTTTTACATTGAATCGCAATTACTTTCTATGGAGAGCACTGCATGGGTTAATTGCTCATATTGTCTAAGGGGACAGGAATAAGTAAAAATACTCACCTTATTCTTCCTTCTACCGTCAGCTGGAGCTCTTCTCTGCTCTCTGACATCCAAGGATGTGGGTAAGGCCCTCTCCCTCCTCACATATAATGCAGGACTACTGGTTCTGTATTGTACATCATGACATTAGAGAACTGGGACCAGTCGACAAGCAAGCAACCTCAGAGGACTGAACAAGCAATAAGGTGAGTATTTTTCCAGAGTGGGGATTTAAGGTGAGTTACTAGTATGGCCATGAATGCAAGAGCATATTGGTATGTTTCTGACACTGATTAGAGCTAAAGAAGCTCTTTGGAGCAGCAATACCTCTTCAACATTACAGAACAGGTCCAGTTACTATAAGTGTGAATATCACTAGCTATAAAATGATCTGAATGAATAAGAAGCTTCACATACTATCTAACCCTATATTGAAATATGAAAACATGAAATGAAGATCTGGTTCATGTTTGTTTGTCACAGGATCCTATATGGTGTAAAGGTGTCAGGCGGCATGGTGAAAAAAAAAAGTTTCCCAGCACACTCACCAGCCAGCCATCCTGCAAAAAAATTCACTGTCTACATACTAGGGTTAAAAACAGAGGTTTAAGTTGTAAAATATGTGGAAGCCACAATGCCTCATTGAGGCCCCTCTGTCTAGTGCGGTCCTAACTCTAATCTATGAGATCCTCCATCTTGGAGCATGAATGGCAAAGGATGAATTGGGTGCAGGTTTGCCAGGAGGTAGCCCATTCCATTGTATGGTGAATAGTGTTTTAGTAGGAAATTAAGATGATTGAAGTCAGTAATGGAACAATCAACTGCATGTATATAAAATATAGCCCATTGCTACAAGTTTGCCTCATATATAAGTTGTTTCCAAAAGGGAAGTTGATAATGTTACACAGAAATCCATCAGGTCCCAGCTGCCCCCTTTTTAGTATAGGTTGGTAAACAAAGTATCTGAAAAGACAGACATTTTCAAACAATTTGAATATATGATGCTAAATGAAAGTACTTACATATTACATAGGTGAGGACAATTCCTGGAATGTAGCTTCCCAATATAACGAGAAATGAACACACACTGCATGCCAGAAGGCAAAACTGCAAAAAGAAAGCATAACTGGTACTGTGGATATACAGATATCTATAGGCTTGTTAGTTTTTACAACATGGATAAAAGACAAAACAAAACTAAATGTCTGTTAAGTCAGCACAAGTCACCAAGATAAAAATGGGCCACCTTCATATGGACAACCAGCCAAGGTGACATCATCTCATATACTGCCATTTAAAGTGCATCCATGGTCTAGTTCAATGAGTGTAATGAAGCACATGCCTTCCAAGGGTATGATATTATTACTCTTCGCCATCACTTCACTGGAGAGCAACAAAGACTATTGTGCACAGTCTGTCTTGTTTGACTGTCAAACATGTTGCCTTTTACTTTACTTGTCTGCCACATTATTAGTCTTATTTCTCTTCCATCATGGGAACTGATCACTCAGACCACGCATAGTCTTATAGTGTAATCCCTAGTTTCTGCCACATCAAACTAATTGAAAGACTAAATTCAAATGCATTTCTTTCTAGCACAGTACCTTTACCAGTGGTACAAATCTGTATTGTAATATCATTTCTCATTTTAAATGCCTTGTAGTTGTGCCACAGTAGAGCTGCATTTTATGACAGTCACCTGACTATATTTTTATGTCAGGGAACACAATATTACAAAAATGCTGACATTTTATATATACTGGCAATTGTAATTTCTTGTATGAAAGGAGTCTATTTGGTCAACTCCTAAGACAAACCTATGTCTGCATCCACATCTGTCCTTGACATTAATGTCAATGTCCTTAAATAAAGAACTGTCAACAAACCACGTTAATTTTTTATGCAGCAACGTTTGTGTATTTCATGTACTAAAGTGTATCTGTGTCATACTGCTTGCAAACTAAATAATTGGGGTATATTAATAGAAAAAAAAAACTGCATAGCTTATTTGTCCATTTGTCCTTTTGTCGGCACAAGTTTATCATCTGTTGTGGGGAGAATGTGTCAAAATGGAATGTTCTTAAGGTATTTTCCCTCCTGGCCCAATGATCTTAAATAGGTATATTCATACAGAGCAGAGTACATGTGGAAAAACTGTATTGTGACCACTAGATGAAGCTGAGGATTATAGGAAATAAATACGTTAGTAATGATATACAATTTTACAAGAGGTTACAGGTGCTGGTCCTGTAGCTTGAAGGGGATCAGTAGGGATAGAGTATGTAAAAGTCCTTTTTCCAGGTACCCTAGACCTAAACCAGCATTTACCCTTGCAGTGTTGGAGGCAGCCCCACTGAAAGGGGAGGTTTTTATGTTGTTGTTATACATGGAGATAGGCTTTAAAGTAGGAATGCACAGATACTTTTTGAGTACCAGTGCAGATACTTGGCATTTTCATGAGAACTACCAGGGTTGCAGCGGTTGCAGTTGGGACCTGGCTCTGGCACTCCACCACTGTCCTGAAATCATTATTCTGTATTGTTTTAGAAAAACTGTCACATGACAATAAACAAAAATGTATCAGTACTCGTACTTGTAAGTACTCGGCAAGTACCAGTACTCGTACTCGCAAAACTGGTATCTGTGCATCCCTTTATTTATATTTATAAAAACAAAATCGTACATTAAAACAGAGATGTACAAATCCCAGGAGCTCCGTGTGCTCCTTACAAATGACAGCTGCCTCCTAATTTTTTTATTTTTCTCTAGTGTAGTCTTGGAGCTCAAAAGTACCGGTACATGTACTCGTACTTGTACCGAGTACTGTACTTGGTATCTGTGCAACCCTACTTTAAAGTACTGTACCCTTACTATGCCACGCAACAGTACTGGCATACAACAAATCTTGGTGGTGATTACACTGACTAGCAGAAAAAAAACTTTGTCCAAGTTCAATTGATGTACAGTACATGTGCTAGCGCACTTTATGACACACCATAAATATCTGCGGGAGGGTTTAAATTACTTGTTGGAATGTGTGAAATGTGACAGAGCATGCTTTACACTATGGTACTAATTACACTGGGATGGATTGTGCTAATAAAAGTTTAAATCTTGCAAATGATCAAATAAGTCAAATATGACCACATGCCAACATGTTTCTTCATCATTCTATTGTAGTTAAGCTAAACTAGACACAATGTTATCCTCTGCCAGTGTTATAAAATGTGTTATTAAAAGCATTGGACAGGAAATAAGAAATCATTGACCCATGTATACTTTTAATCTTACATAAGTGGCATGACGCAATATACTTGTCTATTGAACATCTTTAAAAAGGACCTGCCATGCAGCTTTGGCAGTTACTTCATAATGCATTCTTCAGTAAAATCATGCATGCAGTGTATAATACCTACCATATGGAATTTGCATAACGTCAGCTAGAAAACTTCGACCACCCTTTGCTACCGTGTTTCCCCGAAAATAAGACACTGTCTTATATTTTTTTTGCCTCCAAAAAACACACTAGGTCTTATTTTCAGGGGATGTCTTCTTTTTTTTTTCAATGTGCAACAAAATGTACAACAATCTAAAGTTATCTGGTGTCACTCCGCCTGTCACAGTAACTGGCGCTATAGAGGAAGTATCGGCTAATGCGACTCGGCTCCCTCCGTCGCCACAGCCTTGCTTTCTACAGCGCCGGCTTCCTTTGCCATCAGGGACAGTGGTACCAGCGGTGCAGCAGTGGGGACATCAGACAGTGGACAGCGTGGTAAAGTACGGTACCATTTACCGGTACACATTACAGTCCAGTACCATTACATTAAGCAGTGCCTTCAGGGGGACAGCAGTTGGTGAAGTATGCCACTGGAGTGCTCCCTGTCACTGTGCTGGCCGGAGGGAGTCCCCTGTCATCCCCTTAATACAGTATGTCCCTGCAGGCTGATACCATCTCTCCTGCTCATCAAGTTCCCCCTCACATGCTACACTAAACTAGGTCTTATTTTCAGGGTAGGTCTTATATTACAGGAATCTTGAAAAATAGGGCTAGGTCTTACTTTCAGGTTAGGTCTTATTTATCGGGGAAACAGGGTATTTAATGACTTACATCACATTATAGAAGTTAACTGATTTTATAGAGAGAAATGCTAAGCCACTCACATCCAATTAGAATGCTGCAGTAAGTGTTGCAAAAATTCTACTGCACTTAACTTAACTGGTGGGTCGCGACCCAAATTGTTTCGCAATCCCATGTTCAGTGGGTCACCTTGTGCCTTTCACTATGCTAGATGAGAGACTCCTCAGCCTCCCCCTAGCACAGCACTGTCAGTTCTCGCGCCGATCAGTCATTCATAATATACTGCCGGGCGCCAAGTGTCATCTTGAGGTGGGGCGGGCTGGGAGCATTGCTGTGAGGGAGCTTTTTTTAAACCTATATTGCTTACAGCTCCCTCACGTGCCCTGTAGAGGTGCCTGGACCAGAGTGGCATGACATTCTGGCTCTCGGCACCTCTACAGGGCACACAGGGGAGCTGTACAAGCAATGCACATATGGATGGAGCTCCATCACAGCACAGCAGTCCACACTGGACCTCAAGCTGAGGATCCACTCCAGTTCTCGTAAAGTAGTGAGACTGGGTGGATCTTAAAAAAGAAAGAAACGTAAACATTTTTTGGAGTGTGTGTATGTATGTGTTTGAATGAGTGTGTGAGATTGTGTCTGTGGTTGTTTGTGTCTGTACGTGTTTTTGGGGGCCCGTTCACACTTGTACAGTGTATTAATTGTACAGTCCTGTATTACGCAATCACGCCTACCACACTTTCTGGTGTGCGAGCTGCGTTGCGTTGCCTTTTATTTGAATGGCACCTGAAATGCACCTCCTGCCCACAGTTCGAACACCCGCACCGGAATGCGCAATATTATAATGCCATGCATTCGGGTGCGGTGTTACTTGGGCCGCGACTTAATGATGACAAATGTGGGTCCAGAGTTACACAGGTTGGGAACCACTGATTTAGATGAACCTGGAAGAGAATCTAAACATACACTTGTATAGCAAAAATACACAATATTCTGTTCTGTAATGTAAGATACACACTCATTACATTAGCCTACAACTATGTAGTACAAGGGCCTACATAGGTAATCCATTTCATTTATATCAAGTTACCTAGGCACTTGCAGTAAATTGTACAGTCTGCTTGTGACATTTGGGTCCAGCTAAAAGTACAACTGAAGCCAACACTCTTTTTTTAGTTTTGGAAAGAGTGGTTAGGGATTAGAACACCTGTCATGTTTTAATGCTGTCTCTGTGTCCCTGTAAGTGAGATTAACCCCTCTATTTCTCCTGGTGATGGTTATCACTGAAAGTGAAAGTAACATAAAATCTCAAATTCTGGGTTGGCATCAGAACAAGAATAAATGTGAAATCTTCCAATCAGGACACTAGTTCTGGTGACCTTGCAGATCACCAGGAATTTCCTCTCACTTCTGATGTAGCTACCAGACAGGAAGTTAAGGGAAATCTCCTCAATGGGACACAAATGGAAAAAAAGAAGCTGACAGGAGTTATAACCCTCCCTTACTCTATCCACAAACAACAAAAACGTTTTGGCTTCAGTTCCACTTTAGGTGTGTCCACCATGCCATGATAATACCAAACAATGTGACAGATTCCAGCATCGCTTGTGGGCCCCATTCAGAGACGAATCGGCCTGCCCGTACAGCTCCGTGCTGCGTGCGGGGCCGTACCAAGCAGCTGCCGGGAAGGACAGGTGCTGCGTGTGATTAGTACGCAGTCCCCGTCCTTCTCTATGGGGCTACGCGGCCGTACGCCCCCCTACGCTCACCTCAATTGCCGGTTCGTAGGGGTGCGGGTGAACGTATTCATACGCTGCCGGAATGGATCCTGTATGCGTCCCAGCCAGAAAACCCGCACCCCAATGGACCTGCAATTGAGGTGAGAGTAGGGGGCGTACAGCCGCGTAGCCCCATAGAGAAGGACGGGGGCTGCGTACTAATCACACACAGCACCTGTCCTTCCCGGCAGCTGCTTGGTGCGGCCCCGCACGCAGCACTGAGCATGTGCAGGCCGATTCGTGTGTGAATGGGGCCTAAAGTGTGTATGAGTTTTATAGAGGGTAGCAAGCAAGTCTGATACTGTATCAGGAGTAATTGCAACTGCACACAAAGACATTTAAGAATGTGACCAACCACTGATGGGTCTTTTTTCTACAAATAAAAATAAACTTCTGAGCACATATTTGCCTCAACTTTGCACCAACTGCAGGAAGACTGGAAGCAGTTCTAGCTTTCTAAAGACAAGCGTGGATAAGTGGATAGCTTACTATCTCATACCTACATGCCCATCTAAAGCCAGACTACCACAGTTTAAAATTAACTCAGTTATATTAATGTGAAGAACAGAGTTTTAAGAATCTTTATGGTGCAGATGTACACAGGTTTACTAGAAAACACAGTGGTGTTGGTTTACTACAGGAGTAGTGTGAATGTTCATTTTGAATACCCATCATGTGCTATAAAACATCCTGTTTTCCTAATTTCCCTCACACTTAATTGGGTATTCAAAGAGGATTTTATTCACTAACCATCACTTTGCTAGTAGGACATTCCCTAATCCTTTATTAAATCATTCCCACCATCTGCAATTAACATACTCAAGTTTAACCCTCACAACCTTCATAGTCTCTGAACATACAATGCTGGATAACATACTTTGCCTGGATTTTGTTGTTTAAATAGGGATAATTCTTGAAGAAAAGTGCAGTAACCCGACCAGGATTCTTCCATGCACTGACCAAGCTGAGGTTTGCATTCTGAACTAGAGTTGATTGCCTCCCACCTAAACAAATAAAAAAATTGATTCTGTTGAACATGATTTACCATATACAAAGAATGGGGTGCACCTAGAGTAATTGACACCCAAAGCAGATTATTTTTAACACCCTCCTGTTTTTTATGGCAACATTATTTTCAGTAAAACACATGCAATTAAAGTAAAGCAAATACAAATAATGTCTAGAAAAGAAACACAGACATTGTATTGTCCTCTTACTTTGGTGGTCAGTGGAGTAGGTCCCCTTTACATTGGTGATCAGTGTAGAAGGTCCACTGGTGGTTAGTAAAAAAGTGCTTTCTTGCAATAGTGATCAGTAGGGAAGGGCCTTATTGCACTGATGGTCAGTGGTAAAATACTGCTTACATTGATAGTCAGTGAAGAAGGGCCCACTTACACTGAGGATCAATGTAGAATGTCCACCTTATATTGGTGGTCATTAGAAAAGTGCTCTCTTGCAGCAGTGGTCAGAAGAGAAGGGCCCAATCGCAGTGATGGTCAGTGGAGAAAGGCCCCTTACATTGAAAGTCAGTGTAGAAGGGCCCATTTACACAGTTGGTCAGTGGAGAAGGGCCACTCTACTCTGATGCTCAGTGGAGAAGGGTCACTAAAGAAGGGCCTCTTTAAATTAATGGTCAGTGAAAAAGGGCTTCCTTACATTGGTGCTCATGGGAGAAGGCAACCCATAGAACAGTGGTCAGTAAAAGAGGCACCTCTTTACATTTATGGTAAGTGAAAAGGATGCCATTCTTACAGACAGACGAAAAGATCACTGGTGTCAGTAGTTACTTATTTGAAAGGTTCCACTGGTCCCATGCCACTGGCTTTGGCGTGTAACATCAGCTGCCAGAACAATACAGTTACTGTCAAGATGAAAGTCAATCTTCTACTGCTCCAGGAACCCCTAACAACCACTGAAGGAAACATGGCTGTGTAAGGCTGAGCTGAACTGTCTTCTGTTCACATTGGGGAAGGATTTTTTTTAACCATATACAACCCTAGACTTGTCAACCTACAGCTGCTGCTCAGAACTAAGGGATATGAGGATGAAGTTTTTTTACCAACCATTGTGGGATGGATTGATTGCTGTCCTTAAGGTGGCCATACATGTAGGGATTTGTGATCAATTTAGATACAAGTAACTGCAAACATGCAATTCATCTTCAATTAAAATATTGAACCCTGCAACAGATACAATATCAATTGAAAATATGATCTACCAGAAATGCTTTATTATAAAACAATAATTTAATTGATCTGTATTACAATAGGTTGTTTGTTACACAAGCAAACTTTTGCCCAAACAATCAGAAATGATCAATCATATTCCACCACAGTCAATCACCTTGATCGAAAGCTCACTAAATCAGCTGAATCGTTAACTGAATGAGGTTTTACAATTCCTCTTAAATTTGAACATTTTAGTGGCATGGAATGATTGATTAAATGATCATATAAGTATGTGTGTGGCCACCTTTACACATTTGATAAGCAGAAAATGTTGTGGTTATCTATGTTGATGTGGGTTAATTAGCAACCGAATGAGAATGGGCGATGAGTGCACTAGCTGTGGACACCATGCAATTACAGGTACTCTGTGCCAATGAATGAGCCAACAATGCAATCACAGAACAATATCCTGTTAATAATGTTGATATGTAAACAGAAGTATCTGGTATCTAAAACATGAAGCATAGCCCAACCAAGAAACCAGACAGAAACGTAAGTGCAACATAAAAATAAAAAGAGTTTATTGAGAGAAACAATAAACAAAACAATAGAGGAAGTCCAGGACCTAGTCAATGCCAAGCCCGAGTTCAGATGCCAAAAGGGTAGTCATCCGGCCCAGGTCAGGGAGAGCAGAATGAACTTAAGCAAAAGCCGGAGTCAGGAACCAGGAGATCAGTCAGCCATAGTTAAGGGTCATACACGGAGAACAAGAACAACAGCACATCACTTGGTATATCTGAACACACACAAGGGTGGAGACTGAATGGACAAGCTGAAGGTAATATAGTGAACTGGTGTTTGCATCATCGCTCTGAGACAGGATTTGGCAAGAGTTGTTAGTAGTTGCAGAATGATGATGTTGATGGGTTTGGTCAATGGAGGGCACCAAAGAGGAACAACAGTGCCAAACATACTGCAAAACAGCCATGCACAGCCGACCGGAAGAGGAAGGGTAAGAAACCCTTTTAGAAGATGAAGATCACCAGCACTCAAGTAGTCGCATTCAATCCTAGTGCTTATTTATTGAAGTGAAACGTTACAAACATCATATAGGCAACGTTTTGGGGCCACGCAGGGTCCCTTTATCAGGGCAACATAGTGACTATGGATGACTATCACTGCAAGCACCATGGCTGTTCGGGTCCAATCGCTGTAAGGAGTGCAGGGGACACATCTGAATACTACAGTGTAAGAAACACTGACACAAAGAAAACATGGAGCATATCATAACATAGAAAAGTGAAGCTCTACCTAATGGAAAAACCAACAGTAACATGTATGGACCTACTGCAAACAAAAAATACTGTTTTTCCACACACCTCTTTTAATGAGATCATAAAAGAGGCTACTACAATTATATTTAAAACACCCAAATCCACAATAACCTTGAAGTATCTAGTCATTTGAAATGGATACATTTCATCTTACCCCCTGTAGTACCTGCTCTCTAGATGTGAACACCATTTGTAGCTCACGGTATACTGAGCTTAGGCTAACGGGAGGATGCTAGTTTGTGTCCTCCCGTTACCCTAATGAGAACTATGGGGAAAAACACTGACCCCATAGTTCTCCTTTAAAATAACCGGCACAGGTATGCCTGCTGGTTAAGTGTTCAATAACAACATTGCATTTAATGGTAGGTTCAAGGGTATCTATGGTCAAAAACTAAAAACATTTGCATTTGTATACTGAATTTCCATAAGTTCTAACCCATTCCTAATAAACATATCAATCTAGAAGTTTGTACACTTACTTATTGATGATGCTCATAGTATGTACTTCCTCAATTCAGTGACACAATTTCGCTCAGCCCTGTGAATATGCACGTCCTTGTGTTACAACCCTCACAGAACCTACCTTCTGAACAACTCAACGTCTGATCAATGTAAAATTATCACTGCTTGCTGGAAGCAATGTATGATGCACACTTGTTGAAGTTGATGAAAGTGATGGGCAGACAGAAGGCAGCGCAGCGCTCACTACATAAAAGGGATTTTTAAAGTAAGCTTTAATTGCATTATCAAAAACAACTCTAGTATGTATTCATATTACAATGCTGATGTTATAACAGTATAGTATTTGCTGGGACTGCATTACAACTGCTTTAAGTTAAGCAGGCTGACCACTAGGTGCCTGTATGTCATCTCCTCCAATAACAAGACCTAACAAATGATCACATGTGTTGATGCTTTATGAATTTGGCAGGTACCCACACCACGTAACTGCAGAGCATTATAAAGCTTATACATGTCCAGAAAAGGAAAGATTAAAATGTCAGGACGCACATGTGGTAGGCACATCGAGCCACGACCTTTTACAGACTTTACAGACTTAGGGGTTTATTTATAAACATATGCAAATATGTTTTACTTTTAAATATCTGTAATATCTGTTACTTTTTTCTCTGTGTTGGATTTTGCAGCAACATTTTACTAGCTTTTGTCAGTTTGATATAGAAAGCTGTGATTTCTAATTGCTGAAAAAAAATAAAAAGGACTGCAAAACAAATTAGATTTAGTAAAAATAGTTTTACAGCAGTTAAAAGTGTCAGAATCTATGTTGGCCACCAAACAAAATTGTGATATATTGACTTTAACCTTTTATAGATAGGAGCCTTTGATTTTGAGATACACTACATAGTAAATCTGTAAAAAATAAGTCAAGGCAACTGGACTTGCTGTATTTTTCTTGACGACGTTTCACTGGTCATCCAATCAGCTTTCTCTATTCAGAATGACTTGTACAAAAATTCAGGGAGGAGGACTGGTTACATAGTAAATGTCAAAGTAAGGGATCGTCCACACCAGATGCGAAAAGATTCCTTTTTTGAATACATTCCGAAAGCATGCACAGAAAAATAGTTTTAAAAAAATCAATAATGCATACAAAAAAGTATACCAGCATGCATTATTTTTTTTATATGCATAAGACGCATTAACAAGAGTGAAGAAAAAAAATATTTTCTAATTGGGTTCCATACTCCCCATTTCACTTCCTGGTTTAGGAAACTTGTGTGCAGTGGCCTGTTTTGTAGATCTGTGCAGTACTGTACAGGATTGCATATATATAAGGCGATGGCAGACAGATCTTGGGTGGATGTTGATGCTTTTATAAGCATGGTACAGGAGCACACTGAACTCTATGGCCCAAAGAGCTGTTATTAAAGGGACTATGCGAAAAAGAGCAGATATCCTTAGCACTGTCCACAGAAGAATCTTGATTCTGATCCCACACACTAAACATTGGAGAAGTCAGAGGAAGAAAAAGGAAGTGATCTCAGTGGACATGTTAGCATACTCCTCGAAAAATAAAGATTTTTGTAGTGAAGGGGAAAAAATGCACAGCAACACATTCCAAATACTTGTACACGTGCATGCGAAAACGTACACTGAACACAGGGATTGTGGTGTGAACAAGCCCCAAAACAGGAGTGGAAATAATGTAAATAGAGACAGGTAAAGGTATAAAAAGATGTAAACTTGCACTGACTAGAGCAGGCACCATAAGGTGATTATGCCTACTTTCCCTACGCTCCCGTGATCTGCCACCAGAACATGCTGACATAGATTCTCAGCAAGCTTCTCCCAATTCCCATGTAACAGCACTTAGGCCTAGCAACCGACAGCTCAGGCATTATGTACTGCTTTACAGCAGAGGGGAGTGATTTGTGTTACATCATACCTGAAAGTACCTGGAAATTCCAAGGCAGCAAAGGAGCAAGAATGGTAAATGTAATCACCCGACTGTGTACTTACATTTTGCACGCAAACTTAAAT